CCAGTCCGAACGACATTCCAATGTCATTGCTGTATAGCCTGGTAGTGTGGATCAGTGAATCGATGTCTCGTTCACTCTTGGCATACAGCTTGATGTCATCCATGTACAGGAGGTGGCTATATCTGTGCTATTAACTTAATTCTTCTTTCAGCTCTCAGCGAAGGCGGTCGCACTTTTCTCCTCTCCTCCTCACCCTTATCTTCCCTGCTTAGCCTCTATGTCCTTGTCTTGTCTTGTGTGCATTACTTTCCCTGGAATAGCCTCCCACTGTCGTTCTCTAAAACCTAAAAGAGAATTATGGATTTAGGCCCAAGGCTGGAGCCGAACAATCACTCCCTGATAATGACTGTGTTACGGCTATTCTTCCCATCCCATGCAAGGACACCTGGATTGGCTGGAGGACTGTTTACTTAGCCTGATAGGCCGAAGGACACTGTCTCAGCTAAACTATGGACACGCACACACACACACTTACACTGATAAGCACTCACTCATCCCCCCTCCCTTTCCAACGCCTTCGATGCTTGTGCCCTACCGGGGAAGATAGCAGTCAACTGGACCAGCACAGATGCTGCAGGACCGGATGCGCTGTCTACACCGGCTCTCTCTTACCCTTTACCCGCCCCTGTTGCTTGTCTTGTGTTTCTATGGTGTATTGATAGTCATGTGCTTTTGTGCTGAGGTGTTTTTTCTGTTATCAAACTGTTCTCCCACTAGGAGCTCAGTCTGAGTGGAGTTTTTTTTCTCCTCCTCTTACCTCATGTAGTGTATTTTCGTTGTTTTTTCCTATCAGCCTACCTTTCTGACATGTCTGCCCAATGTGATGTTTGTGTAAAGTTGGTCAGAAGGTTCCTTTGTAAGTGCACATGCGCCATTAGCGTGCTGCCTGCTGTAACCCTAATTTCCCTCGGGATGAATAAAGTATTCTGATTCTGATTCTGATAATATATATATATAAGTATTATATATATATATATATATATATATATATATATATATCCATATATATATATATATATATATATCCATATATATATATATCCATATTATACTACGAGATACCCGAGAGAGATATCAGACTCTTGGAATATCGTGCCATACTCGACTTAATTACGATGGCGGTGTAGCTCTAAGCTGGAAACCAATGATTATCTTTTCAAAAATATCCTCTGGGCTTTTTCTGTATAAGTTTAATACTTCAGTTAAAAACAAACAAAACAAGAAACCACTAACAGCTATTCTGTTATACTTAGCAGAAAACCAACAACTAATAGGGTTGCAAACTCCCAGCAAAAAAAAAAAAAATAGGGAACCACCCCCCACCCTCCACCTCATGATGCTTAATCGACGTAATCAACTTTAATTTGATGCAGTGTGAAAAAAATGCACAGAAATCAATTATTTTTCAAGAATAATTAAATAGATTCAACATCTTTCTTCAACAGAACTGCAGACTGCACAGATGGTACCTTCCCAAAGGAAAAAGTACTATAGCTTACTAGGGTATATTAGACTTAATAGTTACTATATACAGTAATGGACTTCTATACATTTTACATCAGATTAAAACTTTGGGTGTAAGATTCAGATAATTATTTATTAAAAGCTAGACATTTTAAATGAGAATAAGAAAGAAAAGTATGTCTTTGTGCCCCCCTTTTCCCTGAAAGTTTAGCCAGGCCCCCCTGGGGGGAGATTTTCCGTTTTCGTTTTAAAAAATAATCCCGTCCACACGTAAAGGCAGAAATGAAGGAAAACGCTGCTAGGAACATGCCAAAGCAACAGGTGGCGATATATTCCTAACCGTGCAGAAATGTTGGCCAATCAGAAGTCTAGAAGCCTCGGTGGGAAAAAGTAAACAAAGCTGGGGCATAGAAGCAGAACCGAGTCGTATGTGTGGAGGGACAGTAACTGTGTGTATATGTAAGCATTTAAACACTGCAGAGAGTAGAATTAACAGTATTGTAGAAATTCATTTCACCGAAACAATAACGTGGCGCACAGTGTGACGTCAAAAAAGGCGCACACCTTTGACGCTGCGTTTTCTCCGTTTTTCTCCACACTAATACACACGAACAACATTAATATCTGCATTTTCCAGCGAGTCACTTAAAATTGTCATTCAAATCAAATCAAATTCAAATTTTATTTGTCACGTACACAGTCATACACAGTACGATATGTAGTGAAATGCTTGGACAACTGCTCGTGACCTAAAGAAAACAAAGAAGGAAAGGCTATGAATAAGATAGGAAATAAATATGAAAAATTAAAAAGGGTAAATTTAACTAGGAAGGAATGCTGGATTTAAAAAAAAAAAAAAAAAAAGCAAGACAGGAAGTGAACAGTTGTCAGGCTGAGCGGATACATCAGAATTTTATATATATGTAGCTCACTTCTGCTCTGTGAGTGACTCGTGTGAGGTGGAAAAAAAGTGTGTGCATTTTGTATAATTTTCATAAGCTTTATTATTTGTTTGAAGTGAACTAAATAATAAATTGAAATTGTACATAAGAACATTCATGGTAAGGTATAATATGACGTGATGAACAACAGATTACTTCCACTTTCACTAGTATGTAATAAAGTTATATACAATTAAATATCCTGTGCACTGAAGTCAGGGTTGAGCATTTTTTTGGTTTTTGTCAAAGCCCCAGGGTTCATCTGTCATGGTGGCCTAGAAATATCGATTCACAAAGTACTACTGGTGACACTGCTGATGACTTGTGACTCTTCTTATGCATCCACTTATTATTTTACCACTGTGCTTTTCTTTCAGTCTTTTCCTCTTGTGACACTGCTGGGTGGTATAAGGCACATCTGTCAGTGAAGCTCCTGGAAGTCAGTGAGAAACCACAGGATGTTTTTTTTTTACTCTGCAAATTTAATTTGTTAGTGTCTAGTGTATTTTACTAATAGATATGGAAGTGGTGGATAAAAATTTTTATCATGTAGATTTGTAACTTTTTTTCTGCTAAAGCATGTTGCTGTGTCTTTGTACTCTGCACCTGTATCCTGAACTCTCATTTAACAATACAAACTAAAGTCTATTGAAGTCTGTTTACTTCTTTTCATGTAAATGAACTTTGTCACAAATGAAATTTCTCAGTTTGTGATATTGATTCTCATTAATGTGTTATATGTACACAGTTCACAGCAAAATTTCCCATCAGCAGTTAACCGTATTAGTTGACCTGCTGGTATGTATGAGGTGGGACGTGGTTTGCGGTGCAGTGCAGGGAAGGCAGACGCACCCACTCTGCATCCGCAATCACACCCACTGGCTACAAGAAGGGGAATCAGGGTTGTGTTTGGGTTGGTGTTGTGGTGTGGTGTGATGCATCTGCAGCTGAGAGCTGCAGCTGAACTAATAAAGATGGCCCAAATCCTTGATCTGTGGACTCGCCGTGTCTCATTCACAATGTATTTAAATAATAGCTAGCAACCCAATCACTAGTCTCAATGTTTGTCATGCTTGCACATTATTAACAATGTTAGCAAACAAGCTAATACAATACTTAATAAACAGAGATTTGTTTGTGACTCTTCTAACTGTAACTACTACTATTGGAAATATTACTATTTTAAAAAAATAACTAGGTTAACTGCACATAAACTGTCATTAGCCTTCAGCTTGGTTGGCTAGCTACAGCTGCAGGGAAAACTCATCCATCCAATCTCTTCTATTTATCCAATTCAGGGTTGTGGAGTGGCTGAAGCCCATCTTAACTACCATAAGACAAGAGGCAGGGTACAGCCTGGACAGGTCACCAGTTTATCACAGGGCTAGCACAGTGACTCAGACAACTATTTGCACCTATATTCACACCTATATCCAATTTAGACTCACCAATTAACCTAACAACACTAACAAGCTATTGAAAAGATGGGAAAACCCCTTTTTTTAAAATACTTTTTTAATACTTTTCATGCCATGATATTTGACAGACTTGCAGTGTCATGACCAGAGCTTTGGTAAAAAGATGGATTGACTGAATTTGAGGGGTATGGCATTCTATAATGAAAATGACTGGTCAAATCCTGAAAGACATAACAAAGGGTGACTGGTTTTTATAATTCATGGTGGTGGACGACCATATAATTGTGGTTGAATTTTGGTCGTAATAAGGAAAGTTATCGGCTCTAATGTGGATTTACTTCTTTTGCTGTCACCCACGGGCATGCTCACTGTTGTACAGGAAATCGGATGTGTACAAAATAACCAGGAATGGAGATAAGACCGTCCCCTTTGGTCCCCCAGTGTTACTAAACACCACATCACATCACTCTTAATGTGCCAGTAGGTTGAAGTAAACCTAACAGTCTTCATTTTTGGTGAAACTGCATTAACAACTGTTTGGAGAGATTAATATTACATTTCTGCAACAACTTTTAAACCAAATTTCAATATGTTTACAAATATGCCATCCCATTTTTTTCTGAATCTCTTTTGAAAACAGTAGGTTTTAGGTCAAAACAGTTGAAATCAGAATATGAAAAATTTTGTACTAGTCATGTTCTGCAGGTGTGTGGCTTTTGAATGAGAAGAGATTAAGGGCTTTGGAAAATGAGATCATTGGATGTATTTTACGTGAAAACAATCAAACAAGATCTCCACATTGGTCCATACAGATGTCTGGTTTGCTCAATGTGTAAAAAAATTTCATGTTGGTTGCAATATATTGTTGTTGCAGTCAGGGGGGAAAAGACAGAGACATATAAACACGCAGTGTCTTTCACTCGTGGTTTCTCTTATCATTAAAAGTAAATAACAAGGTAGACTAGTAATCCAAATCAAAAATTGCCACAATATTTTTCTGTTGTCTGACCTATCAGGTTGATAAAATTCATGCAAAAGCAAATGCAGCCTGTACAAGCTGTGTGCAGCCACTATTGGGGTCATCCTAGGAAGAAGCTAAGAATTACAATAAATATGTGACTTTTTAATTTGCAAATTTTGTTCCCTACAAATTATTATTATTGTTGTTGTTGTTGTTAGGATGTGTATAAATATAAAATGGAAAAGATACATGAGTACAAATCAGTAAATATACAATTTTAAAGAAAGATAATACATTTATTTATACAGCACCTTTCAAAAAATGTTACAACACAGCACAACAGAAACATTAAAAATGAATGTATAAAAAAAGTCATGTTTAACATTTTACAAAATGTACAGTCAACACAGTTGGGATAAACATATACTGCCTTTGATAGGTCGTTAGAGTCCCACACATTTGGTCTGGCAAACTTCTGAAGTCTGCTAAAAAGTGAGCCCACATTTTTAGTGTTGTTGAAGGCATGCAGGACATGAAACCATGTCTTTATTATATGCAGCTGAGCACGACATAATATAAAGAGATATCATAAACCTTCCAATCCAGTTTTTTTTCCTGTATAATCTTTCTTTCCTTTCATCTAAAATTTTCTTCTTTTCTTTGTTTACAAAGGTAAATTGATCCCAACTGATCAAGAGAGAAACCAGGATGGAGTGGTTCAGTGAAAGCTGTGTGTATGGTGTAGAGATGAGTAACTGTGTCAGCAGAGACTTTAAAGAAGGACAAAATACCTGCCGGCCAGTCCAGATACATTCCTATGGTACACTTCAATGGTGTACTTTTCAAAAGTGTTAAGTTATTGTTATGACTAAAAACACCACCATTCATCCAGCACCAAGACTTTTCATTTTTTCCAAAAGAAAATTCAGAGGAAGAGTCTCCCACCCGGTCAATGCTTTTATATGCCACTCCAACATCAGCCCGTAAACACTCAACCTCCCAGTAATGGCGACTTGTCAGACCTTCTTCACAGAGAACCTGATCAAGATCAAATCTGTCTGGATGATCAGGATATGGTTGCTTCTCTTGAACACATTCTGCCATTTTTTTCTCCTTGGTTAAAATAATATTCACACCTGCTGTGTTGGGATCAAGTGTTAGGTCACAGGCATCTGCAATCAAAACAGTAGGAAAACGTTAACTGTTTGTGCCATTCTTGATCTCAGATAATGTTGCTATGAAGCTTAAACCAAAAGTGGTTTAGTTATTATTTACAGGTGCCACCAAATAACTGCATGTACATTGTGTCTGTAAACAACAGACACACAACACACTTTGATTTAAGATTAAATGTTGCTCCGTTGCTCAGTCAATGTGGACTCCATCTTAGTGTATTGTGCATCAGCATTTCTAATTTGTTTATGACTTTAAACCAACTAATCATTTATCTTTTGAGGTATAAAATAAAATTTAAAGCCAGCAAATTCAGTGTTTTTGTCTGCTATTTATGTTCTCTATCAGGAAACCTTGTTGATAATTCTCATTGAGTAGTAAACATTAATAAATCCAACTGATTTTTCTTCTTTTTCGAACCCCCCGCCCCCAATTTAAAACAAATTTTTATATTTCAAAATATAGATTACAACCTGCACACAAATCACATCACATGCAGTGTTTCTTGAACATATTTTTCTTACACTGTCTCAGTAGCTTCAGATCGACCCAACATTCTTCATTGTGGTCCACACTAATGGGAAAAATAAACAAAAGCACTGTTGTTTACGAAGAACAATAATAGATCTTGCAATATTAAAATGACTGAAAAACTGATAATAAATTAAGCATAAAGCATTCTTTTTAAGACAGGATTTTTTTCCATACTTGACATTTTCCAGACTGCAGCATGTATCTCTCTTTTTTTCATTTAGCAGCTTGACTATTTCTTGATTGAGGTTATTAAAGCTGAGGTCCAGATCTTTGAGGCTGCAGTAGTTCGAGTCAAGAGCTGAGACCAACGAGGAGCCTCCACGTTGTGTCACTTTACAAAATGACAGCCTACAGAAATCAAACAGTGGGTGTGGTAGATGATCTTATCAAGACCAGTTTTAATGTGTGCATTTATACCTCACAAACTAAATTCATACGTAATCATATGATTATTTCAGAGATTAAAACAAAAAAAATCATCCATTGAAAGTAACAAAGGGACTTGGTGGTGGTTATATATAAATATCTCAAGCATATTAAATGTACAAATTATTGCAAGGCATTGTAACTGCACGATAACAGACCATCTCTTAAACTGTCTGAAAAACGTTGAATTCAGTAAGACTTTTGTTATACTGCAAGAGGCTCCATGTACACTGGAGAAAATAATTATTTGATACCTTGCTGAATTGATGTTTTGTCAAGTTTTGAAGTTTTTACAAAGAAATGAACAGTCTCCAATTTTATGGTAGTTTCATTTTAATGGAATTAGTTTTATTTTCTGTAGGATTAAAGCTACTCTGTGATATTAATGTGATTATTATTTTCTTCTTTAGCCACTCTTGTTTCCATGGCAGTATGTTTTGGGTCATTATTCCGCTGGATGACTGATTCGCGAACCATATTCAGTGTTCTAGCTGAGAGACTGAGGTTCTTGTCCAAGCTTGAAATGGAATAAACTGAATCTGTGGATAGGTGCGCTTTATACAGATAATAAGCTGAGGTCAGGAGTATCTGTAATTGGCTGATTGATTGACTGTAATCTGCTAATTTGTGGGAGCCAGAATTCTGGTTAGGCAGTAGTGGATCAAAAAGTTCTTTTATTCCATGACATGCAAATGAATTTATAACTTTTATGAAACATCTTTTCTTCTGGATTTTTGATTGATATTCTGTCTCTTTCAGTAAAAATGGGACTACCATAAAATCTGGAGACTGTTCATTTGTTTTTAAATGAGCAAACTTACAAATTGAGCAGGAGATCGATTATTTACTTCCCTTATGGGAGATTTATTGTGATAACATCATGTGAACTGACCTTAGTGTTTTTAATCCACACTGTGGGTTTGTCAGTGCATTACACAGTGCTATCACCCCTGAATCCAGCAGGTCATTATAACTCATGTCCAGGTGTTTCAGGTGGGAAGCTCTGAAGCTGAGCAAAGAAGCCAGTGTCTCACAGCCTTTCTCGGTGAGTTTGTTGTGACTGAGACTGAATGAAAAAATGCAGGAAAATTTTTTTTAGCTTAATAATATAGGAAATTGCACATTTGAAAAATATTAAAAACTAATTATTTTATAACATATATAAGCAATATACCATATAAAATGCAAAAGCCCAAAACAAAAATTAATATCCGTTTCTTTTCATCTAGCAAAAATAATAAAAGTTTTGTGCAAGATGAAATAAAATAGTATAATAGAATTAACCAAGTGCAAGGTCTTTGTTTGAAACCATGTTTGAAGATGGCCAGTTAGAATACCATAATAGTTGTCAAATGTGTGCTTACATCAAGATGGCGCTGGAGTGACAGCAGCCTTTCCAAGTAGCTCTACAACACCGCACCTTTTTCTTAACTTTAACTTTTTTTTAGACTAGGTTTTCAAACTTTATTTCACCTTCCTCTAGTTACTCTACTTATACCTCTTAGATATAGCGATACAAGATGGATAATGCACTTTTTTAA